TCAAGTATTGCCAGACTTCAATGTGTGATGCTGGACAGTGGGCAGGCTGAAGCAAGCTGCACAGCTTTCCATATAGCCAAGACTTTCTCTCCAGACAAAAAAAATGAAGCAGAAAATTTATGAAAAGTTTAAAGGTATTTTAAACCTCGTAGGTTGATAGCACACAGTAAATTGTACTTTTATTACATTTTGCAATGATGAATATGCTAATAATCCGGTTAGATCATCACATATTGTATACAAATGCCAAGTCAACTCTATACCACACAATATGTATGATCACTTGTTTCAATAAAATAAACTATACTGACATTTTTTTTTTCTCATAAGAATTTTTTTAAAAAAGAGAAACTGGTAGTTTGATAATGATGGACAGACATGGTATCTGTCAACTGTACTGGAATGTTACTTTTTGTTTCACCTCACAATGTTATCAGGGTGGTGGAGAATTTTTTAATGAATAGTGATAGATTTTAATCCTCAAAAGCATGTATAAAAATAACGGAAGTTTTCCCTGGGTATGTGTAAATATCAGTAAACTCTCAGTTGATAAATTTTTTGAAGAGGACTATGAGAAGGATTTCAGATCTTAGAAACTTTTCAACTCTAATACATATATACTAGACCTCTACTTACTTTTGGGAGTATGAGAATTTAGATTTAAGGGTTGTCAAGATATTTTTTGTTAGGAGAATTTAGAAGAAAAAAAAAGACTGCCAGCTCACTGGAGAAAATGGGCAACCGTGTCCCATGAGGCTGAAATGATGGGGCTTCAGGCAATGTGCTCGGACCTCTGCTTTCAGAATTCATGAAGTGCTCAGCTGTTCTGTTCTACCCTCCATCTGATCATATCGCCTTAAAATTGACTATGAGTAAACTTAGGCAGCAACCTGCCATCAGCCATAGGTCGTGAGACTGGGACTCATTATGTTAAGCAGTCTTGACCACTGTGGCTAACTTGGTCTGGAGCTTACAAGTGCAGCTGAGCTGTTGACATGATAAAGAGCCCTTTCCAGGAGGGAACAAGTCTTCTGCCCAACTCACACGATGGACTATCACCTAGCAGGAGGCTGGGAGCAGGGCACAGATGCGACAGTCATCACTGGGCGCACATGGTGTCTCTTGCTCTGAACAATGCTGCAGGGCACAAGAGAAGCATTCAGAGAGTTGGTGGGAAGGACACAGAAAAAACCCACGATCCACATGAGAACCAGAGGAGCAAGTTCAAGGTCTCAGTTGATAAGATCTGAGTGGACACCATGAAAACCAGTACCTTCGTGTTGTTATTAATTCTTTCTTATTCCTCATTTAAAGTATCATCATTAATTTCATTTTGTGCCTTATTTTTCCTACTTGATCAAAAGGGCAGTATGGTGACACTGTCATGTGTGCCAAGGCAGAGGTGACACCACATAAATGCACCCCGACCACCAGGCTTTGGGACCCCCAGGCCTGAAGCAGAGGCCTTCTCCTGAGCGTCATCTTCTTAGGGTGGCTCTTAGCTGCCCTGCGCAGGGTGAGCTGGGATCATGTGTAGTTCCCACATCCCTCTTTCTGCTCCTATTCCTGGTGTATATGGAAGTGAAGATCCAGAAGGAAGCTTATGTCACATTCATGCATTTTCTGGCTCTGGCACAGTCCACCTATGCAAAGATGGAAGACTGTTCTTTGCTTTCTCCCTTCTCTCTCCTCGAGATAGATGCAGGCTGCCTAGAACTTCCCAGTCAGACCAGAAAGACTGCTTCATGGCCTTTCCCAAACACTCCGTTCCTTCAGGGATCCTGACCATCAAGCCCCACTGCCGACAATGACATACCTCACTCTCCCCAGAGGGTCATTAGCTGGGACGTCATCACTACCACAGATTAGCTACATGAGGGATGAATGAGATGGCCTCACCATCTACAGAAACTGTGTGCTGTGTTTAAATGTCTGGCAGACATACTTTTATAACATAACCCACCTGTACATGGAGAATGAAGTAAAACAGGTGGCATGGAGCCAGACTGTGGAGAGCTCTGAATGACTAGTAGTATCATGTGTAAGACAACAGAACAAACAATCCGATGTTTACAACAAATTTGCTCAGCTCTTACACTGAATATTATATTATTAATGATAACTTCAGACTCATAATTAAGGAATTGCTATTCTTTTTGTAAATCCCTTTTCTGGGTGGCAAATAAGCAACAAAAAGTTAAGGCATTCCAAGGCTGTTTGAAAACAACTCCCTTCACATGGAACCTAGGGTGCAGTGATAAAGGTAATGATGACACTACCAGAAGTACAACTTGGAGAACCATTCGTACCACTGAGGCCACGTAACTTACGCCACTAAGATATATACTCAGTTTATTCTTACTGTTACATTAGTACTGAAGGTAAATAAAAACACAATCTAAAACACTTTGGTCAATGGTGTTACATTTTTCTTATTGAAACCAGTTACCAGAATAAATAAAAAATATCAAGAACAACTGATATAATTTGTACCTTCTTTTCACTTTGTTCACTATTGCCAAAGAACATAAATGCACATGTTGCAAAAAAGACAGCAAGCAAGTGAAGAAGAAAATACTAACCCTGGAGAAGCAACAATTAGATAAATAGAGTATTATTAGCAATACAATTTAGCCTTCATTTATTGAATGTTATTTTACCCTGAAAAACTTAATTTCTTTTAAAGGTAAAGTAATTCACCCCCAATCACCTTCAAGACCAGGCTTATTAATGATTATTGCCCCCAATGCTTTTCCAACAACAACTATAAGCCATTAAGAGGTCTTTTGGTCCTATTCTATTTTAAAACAGCTTAATTACTACTTGTGAAAGGGTAAAAAAAATCTTTCAAAAAGCTATAGTAGTCTTTCAGGAGTGCTTACAAGAGGTAATGACTTTCCAATATAAAAACAGAGTGTAGGGCCGGCCCGGTGGCGCACTGCTACAGTGCGCCGCTTGGGAGTGCGGCGGCACTCCCGCCGAGGGTTCGGATCCCACATACAGACCGGTTCCCGCTCACTGGCTGAGCGTGGTGCGGGCGCGGCGCCGAGGGTTGCGATCCCGTTGCCGGTCCCGGTCCGGTACGGGCGTGACACTGAGGGTTGCGATCCGTTGCCGGACACGAAAAAAGACAAAAAGAAAAAAAAGAAAAAAACAGAGTGTAATAATTCTTAGGTCAAGAAATTCACACCTTAGTCATCTGAAGATTCTGTAGTTGTTGTTGCCAGGTGAGAATAGTTTCCAATCGGCAAATCCAAATATTGATGTTTCCCACCAATACAGACTTCCCTACACCTCTAATAAGAATGCGGAGGGTAGAGCTTAAGTCTTGGAGAAGATCTTTGATAAGGCGAGGATTTTGGTGGTCATCAAGAACTGGAAAAAACAAAAACAAAACTATGGATTGATACAATTAACCACCACTTTTAAAGATGACCTAGTTTCACAACCCAAATGTCCACTGGCAGGTGAAAAGATAACATGTGGTTATTCCACACAATGGAATATTATTCAGCCTTAAAAAGAAAGGAAGTTCTGACACATGCTACAATATGGATAAACTTTGAGGACATTATGCTATGTGAAATAAGTCAGTCACAAAAGGACAAATATTTATGATTCCACTTATATGAGGTTCCTACAGTACTCAAAATCATAAGAGACATAGAGTAGAGTGGTGGTTATCAAGGGGTGGGGGTGGGAAAATGGGGAGTTACTGTTTAATGGGGACAGAATTTCATTTTGGGACAATGAACAAGATCTGGAGATGGATGGTGGTGATGGCTGCACTATATCCATGTATGAGGGATCTTCAAAACATTCATGGAAAGTTTCACATTGTCTTTTAAAGTCTATTTTTCCATGAACTTTTCTGAAGTACCCTCGTACTTAATGCCTCTGAACTTTACACTTAAAAATGGTCAAAATGGTAAATTTTGTTATGTGTGTATTTTACCACAATAAAAAAAAGATCTAATTTCATTGCAACACAAAAGTGGCATCATTTTTGAGATATCACAACTATAATGAGATTTTTAAAAACTTTTGTACGTATCATAAAGAGAATTAATATTTAACAATGTAGTCATAAATTCCTATATATGCATAAGCTCATTGTGTGAAATTTAAAGTTCTATTTACCAATAGTCAGTGATTAATCAAGGCAAGCTTGTTAAATTAAAATGAAATTTACTGGCTTATTTGGTGCCTAAATGAATAAGCCACAATCTTGCTCATTATGAAACCATATAGCTAAAATGAACTATGATTGGCTAACCATGTGAAGGTAAAATAGCTTTTCAAAACTTTGGGTTTAGTTACATTTTCTGTTATAATACATCCCTTTGTATGCAAAATCAACTTTGAAAAAGTAAATAGCAGTAACACAGAAGAAGAACTGCAGGGATGACCTGTATTTCTGTTTGGAATCACATTATTTACACTATTGTTTTTGACAGCACACATAGTGAGGAAAGATAAAAGAAAAATCCCATCTCTTTGCACCAAATTTCTAATTAAGATTTACATTATTAAAAATATCAGTGATTACCTTACCCTTTTGAACGATTTTATCCAAAATGTTGAAGTAATTCTTTTGTGCGACACCACTCAATGAAGTTAATTGGGATTTTGCAATTAGCTGCAATAGCTTAAAGAAAAGAGGGGGAAAAAGTTAAGCAATAAATAAATGTATTTAATATGGCAATATAAACAATAGTGACATATCGCAAATACAGCATAAAGATATGCTACCATGAGGCATTCGAAATTAAGTCACCATATCAGTCTGAGTCCAATTGTAGGAAATAGTCACCACCTACATTAACCCAAGCAGCAGCAGCTTCTACTCTCCAATCTCGCATGAATACATCTAGTTAG